TTTATATCATTTTGTGCAAATCTGCTTTTCTCAAGTGTTAAAAGCTGTTAGAAGCATGAATTCTGAAAATTCGCAAGTTGCAAGAAATTATATTGTAAATATCTTTCAATCGAAAAGATATTAACATCAAATTAAATAATCGGAAAAAATTGTACACTATGTAGGTAGCAACTGTGTAACTTTTGATGTAAAATGAATTTAAAATTTTATATGTTAATTGTGAAAACAATTTTTGAGCCGAAAGTAAAATTTTAAATGTCGATTGTAAAAGTGCTTTAACTTGTTTACATTTAAACAAGTTAACATTAAAACATTTATAAACAAGTTAAACTTTGTTTAAATGCAAACTTTGTATAAATTGAAAACCTTGTTTAAGAGAACAATTGAAGAGAAAGTATAGAATGAACGTATGTTACAAGTTAGGCTCTCAAGCCAACACTTAAAAGTTTAAATAAAGCTCTCTTTAGGACAGTAGGTGCAATTTTGTGAATACAGAGTCCTTGAGCTTTCATATGCTAAATTCTAATAACTTGCTGATGATGGTTAATTGGTAGCGTTGATTCACAGTAACACAACACCGACACGCTCAGTTCATACCAGAACAAATTTCTGGAGAGTGTTGGGGGGAGTTAAATGTGTGTGAACGAAATCTGTTTGAGGGCCAAATAAATGTAAAAATAAGAAATTGGAAGGGAAAATAGAAATATTTCTTAGAAACAAGTACTAATGCTTCTTCCTTCCAGATATTTTGGAAGGACCAAAATATGTATCAGATTCATGTCAAGATGAAGAAGATGTATGTGTTGAGCAAGAAATGTTGTAAAAATTATTTTATCTTAGTTTTAAACTTAGCTTTAGATCATTTGTAACGTTGGCCCTAAAAGAAAGTCAAAACATCAATAATGAGATTGAAAGTTTTAGAAGTTAAATTGTTAACTGTTAGGAAGTTTTCTATAATTTAAACTCTCACCAAGGTCGTTGTGAGACCATTTTTTTCTTCAAGTACTGAAATTCTGGTCGAGAAAGATGTAAGATATATCCTAAGTTTATAACAGTTATTTTAAGTTTTATTCACTTTCCCTATACCTTCTAGCTTCAGCTTACAATTCCTTACCAGAATGGGTTTTTAAAATTGTGTTAAATGCAAATGAGAAGTAGTATCTAAGTTCCACGGACTTCCTCAGAGAGAATTAGGATTCCTGAATAGCACGCGTTTTCATTTTGGTTACGTCTCTCTAAGCTGTTACTACACTTGGCCATATTACATGCCCTTGATAGCTTCACTATCTAATTTAACATTATGGGCCAACTAGTTTAGAAATTGCCTTATCTTCAGCAAAATCTCTTTAGTTAGTCATTAGTTAAGTTCTTATTTCTTTTAGAGTTTAAGACCAAGTGGAGGTTTTGTTGTACACCCTGAGAAAGGGACCATCTGTGCATCGTTATTTTGAGCAATAAAGGGTAATTAACCCTTCTTGAGTCTAAATTCTGTTTTTGGACTTAAGCAACTATGTGCTTAGTAGTTCACTAGGTTCCTCAATACTTACTTAATTGTACAGTACAAAGTCTGTAATCCGGACGTCCATAATTCGGAATGATCTATAATCCGGACCTTAAAGCTACAAACTCTATGCGCATTTAATGTACATATAACGGTATAAGCTAGGCTAAAATTATGTAAGGCATTTCAGTTAATGTTGCAGATTGCGCTGTTCCTTAATCTTCTAATTGGATCCGGCTTATTACCGTAATTTCTCGCGTATAGTCCGCGGACTATCTGTGTTTAAAATGCAAATTTTTGAAGCTGTGGACTATCCACCAGCGCGAATAATACGCTGGTTGTTCACGGTTAAAATCATTGAAATTTAAAAAACACGTTGTCGTGAACTGCCGATGATCAAATATAAAAAAAGCGCTAGATTCCAAGAAAACATTCGTATGTATCGTATCTATAGTATTCATAGAGCATAGTGCAGAACGAATGAGTAGTAGCAAGTAGAGCTCCTAAAATCCAGGCTGGCACATCAAGTGATGCCGGGATATGAGCCAAAGAAAGTCTTGTATGAGCACACTTAGCGCAACCAGTCTTGTATCCCAGTTATCCTTCGCACTGCTTTAGCGCAACTGCCGGGAGGGGGAAAAGTAGTTGATGCATCAGCTCGGGTTTAGGAGCCATAGTAGCAAGTACCTGGAGTACGAAAAAAAAAAAAAGCATGATTCATTTACTTATAGCGCGGTTTGGCAACACCGAGTGAGTGGGGTCGAAGGTCACATTTCATTACCACTTATCACGAGGATAGCACGTTGCACAGTATTTTGTCTTTCATCTTCGATAACGTTGATGAAACATCGCCGGAGTTTTACTGCTGAGTTAAACTCAAGGTAGTTGAGAAAGCTGAAAAAGATGGAAATAGAGAAGCGGGCTGTTATTGGTTTAATCCTAGTATCCGGTGCACACGGGATTTGACTACTTTTCGCGACTTTATGATGAATAATGAAAACGGGACATATACGATGAGTAGTTAATGGGTCATTCAAAGAAAATATATAGTTACACATGGTATATACTATGTATATAGTATATATACTATGTGTGTATATACATATACTATGTGTGTATAGTATATATATAGACGTTCTTTGCAGAGTCGTAGCTAGGGTTTTCAGCACCCAAGGACAACTGAAGATTTCGTGCCCCCTACTGCTTGCCAAAGATGGAAAACATTTAATTCTAAAATGCCGTAACATCACTTTGGCGCCCCTTGGATTCTGCGCCCGGGGACAGATGCACCCCTTTAGCTACGCCCCTCGATCTTTTGGATCATTTTTGATGTTGGCAATAATTTTCAAAGTCGAGCCAAGGCTGCACCGTATACTAGGATTTTACCCCGTTATTTTGAAGTGGACGAGAAAGTGGTGAGAAATTGGCGCAAACAAAAGGATGTGTTTAAAAAGCATGGGAATATTGCCGTATTAAAAAAACGTAATTTCGGACGTATAGTCCGCGGACTATCTGACGATTTTTGAAATTTTTTTATATAAAATCGTGTCTGCGGACTATATGATGGTGCAGACTATACGTGAGAAATTACGGTATTTTTTGCAGACTGTTAGAACAATTTTATAAAAATTAAGCTTGAACTTTCAATTATGTCAAAAGAGTTTCCAATTCTGGAGCTGACAAAGGATCTACAAAGCAAAAGCATGTTCCGATGTCCATTAAACAAAAAGTGGAATTGCTGCAAAAAATGGATAAAGGCCTATCCATCTCAAAATTATGGGAGAAGTATGGCATTGGAAAGTCCACTATATGACACAAGAAAAAGGAACTTTTTGAATTTTTTGTGGAAGCACCTTAAACAACTTACATTGAAAGAAATGTTTAATAAAGCAAACAAATAAATATTAAGCTTTTTCTTTTGTAAATTTTGATACCCTTTAGATCATAATTATTCTTTATTTCATAAATTATGATTTGATATTTTTAATTGTATAATTTCTGCATGTCAACTTACCAGATTTAAATTGATGACTCCTAATCCAGAATCGCCGTAGTCCCGATTACGGACTCTGTACTGTATAAGGTATTTCTCCCGCCTACTTAGCATGCCTTCATAGTGTAGTAGGTCAGCACGCTCGGCACATATTTCGAGAGGTCTGCGGTTCGAGTCCCAGCGATGGCACTGCTCATTTTTCATCTCTCCTGCTTTAAAAAAATACTTAATGTCTTTATAGTGGTGCCCAAACTAAAAAAAAGGTGGTGGATAATGATTCTCCACCACCAGAATTTGGCGAATGGGTCCCCTAATCCCCAGTCACCCCTTAAAAGAAGGAGTATATAAGGTGTTTCTCCCGCCTACTTAGCATGCTTTCATGGTGTAGTGGTGAGCACACTCGGCGTGTATTTCGAGAGCTCCGTGGTTCGAGTCCCGGTGAAGGCATTGCTCATTTTTCATCTCTCCTACTTTCAAAAAGTATCTAATGTCTCCACAATTAATAAAAAGGAGGATCCCTACAACATTATGGAACACAATCTAAAACAAAAATGAACGGCAGAGAATATTTGAAATAATACAAACACTTTAAGTATGCTCTTGCATTGCAATGATAAGCCTCCACATTGAACTGAAGCCATAAAGGTCTTAATTTTTGTAATACTACAGAAGCTGTGAGTAACCAAATTACTACAAGAATGAGTAAAACAAATATAAATTAAAAAACTTTTATGCAAGCATTTTATATACTTTTAATAATTTTGCCCATAATTATTCACATAGTTTAAAAACTGTTGTATATATTTTAGCTTATTCAGAAGACAATTTTACAAGAGGGTCCAAATTTTAGCAGATTTATAATTTTATTACATCTTTCTTTACCAACCATTTCAAAACTATTCATTCTGTTATAAAGTCAGGAGACGTGAAATTTCCAAATAACACAACATTAAATACTGTGAAGTTGTATTCCTATGAAGCAAAATTTTGAATTCTCCTAGAAGATTCACAGCAACAAAACTTCAAATGCTGACTAGGCATGACTGACTCACTTATTTCAGTTTGAATTGACCTGATTCCTATAGCAATTTGGACTTTGGATTCTTAAATATTACATAACAGCAGAAAAGAATGATGGCTTGTCATCTTAAAGAATAATTCGTGCAAACTGTTTGCAACAACCAACACATCAATATTAAAAAGCTCATTAGTTATCAACAAATAATAAAAATGGTTTTAAATAAATAATAAATATACTAAAGTTATTATAGGAGTACCTCAACTGGAAAGCTAGTTAAAGACTTACTTCTTGTATTTATGCTGGTTCATTAAGAAAACACAAACAATATCAAGATTTAAAAAACATGAAATGGAACAAACTTCTTAAAGTTGAAAATATATCAGAAATAGAGTAATTGAAAATTAATGCTTTAAAATCAAACAATTTGTGTTTTTAATAAAAGAAGTTTACTTTGCACTAGTGTGAAAAGATAGATATATAAATACCTGTAGATATACAAATCCACATTGCCAGCTGTTTTTCCTGACTTCCGAACAATTGCTTTAGATGACCATCCTTCAGGTAAACAAGGCTTATTTTCATTGATATGATCATTATATAATTCTTCTTTGATGCTTTCCTTCAACTCTGAAGATCTGTTTCTTTTTTTATTTGATATAATTCTTACACACAAAGAATTAGAAGCAGCTTCAGAAATATTCTGAACTTCTTCAATGATAGATTTGTTAAGTACATTATCCTGCATATCAGGTATTTTCTTCCTAAAACTTCTTTTCAAGGGCGACACTTGAGATGGATTTTTTGTGTTATGCTGAAATGGCTTCAAACTACTTTCCTGAAATAAGGACGTATCATTCAGGATAAATGATACTCAAAAATATCATCAACAGGATAAATGATACTCAAAAATATAAAATTGTTTTAAAAGAATTTCAACATGTACATGTTACTAACAAAACATAATGCAAATGATTTTGAAAAAAAGATAAATCATTTTCTTTAAAGAATAAAAGTTCAAATTAAAAAAATAAATAAAGGCACAAAAACATTGCTGTAATGCACAAAACCATTTTAAAAACTTCAAAATACATAACCAAGATTATAAATTTCTAAATTCATAAAATCACAAAAATAAAAGTTTAATTTCTTATCTTATTGTTGCACTGGTAAATCTACTTAAACATGTGTTACAGAAAATATATTAATCAAAACCTCCACCTGCAGGCAACGTACATGATTTCTAACTGCTATAATAAATCACAGAACAATGATGGGGAGAAAATCTGAATACTTCAGATTACGTTATATCACCTTAAAGAAGGATTTATCAATAAAAATTTCTATGAATTAGAAACATTTAATTTTTTTTAATATAAGATATCATAAAGATTCTGTACCAGTTATTATAAATTATATTCCTGACAGCAGTACGATTTATGTACTGTTGGTCACAAAGTTTTTTTATGGCACATAAGCTTGGCACTTTGATCACTGGTAAAACCAGGTACCAAAATATATGTAAAAATTAGTCTATTTTATCATTTAATACCATAAAAATATATATATATATCTATTATAAAAAAGCTATCTTTTAATGCTATTAGGAAGAACTTGGAAATGCAAATAGAAATGGGGAAAAGAGCATAAAAAGTACATTTAAAAACTAGATACATGGTATAATTTGCTTTTTTGTTCCGACATTACACAGCAAAAGCTTGACAATCCAGAAAGCTTGAGAAATACCAAATTCCAGATACATCAAAATTTTGGATAGTTGAGTGTATAAAAGACATAATTTATTGGGAAATTATGTCTTTTATACACTAGTTAGAAAATGGGAAATTTTCTGCTCTTAAATTATAAAAACAGTTATCTTATTTATTATGTTCCCTTATGTTAATCTAACCAGTTACTATGATTTAGATCTTTACTATCACTTCTACTTTCCATTTCTGTACCAAAATGCAAATCAGATTAAGAGTATTTCAGGCGAGATTTTTAGATTGTAAGATCGATCATGTTTCTGCCTCTCAAGGCAATATTAGTAAGTTTCTACTAGCTCAGCTAAGATTGCATTCTTCGGCTTTGCATTACAGTTGCTGATTTTAAATTTACCATTACTTTAAGTTTTACTGCCATAGAAGGTGGTTGTTTGTTAAGCACGAGTCATGCACTTAAATCAAGTTTTGATTGAATGAATAGGTTGTTTATATTTTTTTCAAGATTATGTCATTCTTTCCAAAGAGATAATTCGCATAAAGCCTGTTAGGGTTTGATAGCAGTTTATGCCACTAAAACAAGTCAAACTCTATTATTCAAACTCTAAACCAAAATCCTAAATTAAAAATTAAATAAGTTTTTTTTTTTTTTTTTGGAGGGGGGAATCATTTCAGACATAAAAGCCAATGTATTTCATAAACTTAAATAATTTATTAACCTATTTAATTCAAGCCTGTAGTGTATTTTTAGATTTTTTTTTTTTAATTGAAAGCCAAAATGCAATTAAAATTCATTGCAAAACTAAGTAATGGCTATGGAAAACTGCACAAAAGATACTGCAGGGCATCAACAGTATACTGATATGGAGATATAAGTTTCAAGAGCCAAATAGAGGTTTATGATGGAGAAAAGGTAAAGAAAATCTGTGATAGCTCATGACTTCCCTCAAATTATGTGACACACTGGCTCAGTGGCCTAAAAAAATACTAAGTTGTGACACATATGACAAATGATTTAATCAGAAAGTCAAATATGTAGAAAAATAATAATATGCATCTCACTTTTTTTAATATGCATCCAATTTTTTTACATATTGAAACTTTTTTCTTCAATTGCATTTATATTTGCAAGCTCTCCAGAGCCTATCTGAGAAGAGCCATATATTATACTTCAAAGATACATAGAGTACTTATATTATAGGTATATAACTTATGTACACTGCTCAAAAAAAAAAAAAAAAAAAAAAAAAAAGGGACAGTCCTATATCTCCTGATCTACTGGGCCGATTGACAAAATTCAAATTGCGTTCTTCATGTCTCGAAAGCGCGACTTAGGATATATATTAGATTTATATATAGCACTATTCTAACATAGGTATTTTGACACAAAATCGGACTTTTTCTGAAATAACATACCAATTTTTTTTTACATATTTCGATTCTACGACTCAAATTACGCCTAAATATGAAATTTTGTAAAATTTGGAGCGAAATTTACGGAGAAATTTACAAATTTATGTTGGCACTTTTTTGTCAGTTTGCGCCAAGAATACTTTACTTGGCGAACTTCTTAATATATGGCAACCTAGTTTCCTTTCCCGTGAGAGGAAAAAAAGTCACCATCGTTCCTTTTTTCCAAATAATATTCTTTATATTATATTTTTAATTATAACTTATTATTTTAAGTAATTTTTTTCTTTTTCGAATTTCATTTTAATTGTTTAAGTTGCACGTTTTTTTTTTTTTTTTTTTTTTTCGAATAACTGTTTTAAAAATTTCTATTTACCTATTCGAACTGCGTAAATAAAGGTGCAGCGTTTATTTTTTTCAAATAGTTTTCTTTATATATACTTTTCTTCATAGTTATTATTTTAGGTAATTTTTAAATTTTTATACTTTTACTTTAATTGTTTGTGTTGCATTGTCTTTTCAGATAATTGTTTTAAAATTTTCTATTTATTCCTTCGAACTGAGCATTTTAAAGATATTTATTAATATCAATTTTCCAGAATTTGATTTTATTTATTTGAACTGCGTTTCTTTCGGAAGAATACTTTGTAACCCAGACTACGATGAGTTTGAAAACTGCATACTATATTAAAAGAGAAAATACAGTAAAGCACAGTTTTACACGCCTTTCAATGTTCCGTTCAGAAAGGATATATATAAATAAGAGAGATGTATAACCGACATTTTAACTTAGGATGACTTGCATACACTACTTTAAACAGTTTTATCATTGTGCCCATTGCTTTACACAATTTTATCCTACATTTGGTTTCTTAAAATGTTATTCATATTTTAGTCAAATATTTTATTTTTGAAATTGGAAGAATCAAATATCATAACACTGAAAAGTTTTAAATTAAAGAAAAATACAAATACTAAATTTTACAAAAAAAATTTATTTTTCTTCTCTTTTTCTTTAAGCATTCTGAAAGTATATTAAAAAGTATCCCACTTTTCGAAACATTTTGGTATTTCTGACAATCTTTTTAAATAAAGTTATCGCCTTCCATTTCATAAAGGCCCACAAACGGCCAAGCGGTAAAGACGCTGATCACTGGTAGTTCGGTCCGAGGTTCGAATCCCGCGAACGGGCTGGTCGCATGGGTGTTTTCGTGGTTTTCCCGATTTGTAACATGTATACGAGCCAGTTTTCCTTAGAAAGTCCTCCACGAAGGCATCCCTCCCTTTAGGCAGATAGCCCTCGTGTGCTTTGCCATAATTAAATAATCCAATCCAATCCAATAAAATCCTTAATTAAATATAATTGATTTGTAACTTCTACTAGAACTGACGTTAAGAATTGAAGTGCAAATAAATAATATCGTGTGCAATCTTGATTAATATAAAATTAAAAATATTTGCACAGAAAAATATTTTGCATTCAGACAGAAAGTTTTTTGAAATATTTGCAATTACTTTATAACAAGGATTTATTAATAACCGTAATAATTACTTATTATATTACTGATGATTAGGAATCAGTTCTTGACAATTACATTCTAAATTAGAATTTTAAATTAGAATAATGAAAATACGCTACGCACAAAAATACATTTTAGGATAAAAAATGAGTCAATGTTTTATGTTTTAAAACTTCTTGAATTCATTTAATAAGCATCATATCCTTGTTGTTAATTGAATTCAGAATGTTGGGTGTCGTTTATATAATTATTCTTACTTGTCCACGGAATCTCCTGACTTATCCAGCGATTAAGTAGCTGCAGATCATTTCTACATAACCATTGAACTTCCATTAATTCAGTCTCTAGAGGGTTGTATATTTATATCATAATTTGACTTTTATAAAGATGATTATTCTAAATCTTATGTTTCTATAAAAGTATACTGTGCTTTAAAAATATGGATGATAGTACCAGCCGCTCTTTCAGCCACTTCAAAAGCATCAGTTTGTTTAGAAATAAATTGTGCAGTTAATGTCATAAAATTCAAATAAACATCTAACAAAAATTCTCAGTTTTTAGACAATTCGATTTAAACGAAGTAAAGTAGCAGACGATAAAACGCCGAAGGTAAAAATTTACTCTTATTAAAAAAAAAAAAGATAGAGAAAAATTAAAAAAATATTAAAAAATTTATTTAAAAAAATAGCTTTTCATATAGTATTAATAAATATTTATTACGCATCATTGAGGGAAAAAATGTCATATAATAAATTCTCCGTAAAATTTTACTTGAAATTTAAGGTTAAAAATAGCTGTGGCAATACAGTGTAACAAAAATCCATCGACCACATTTGGCGTTATTATCGCTCAAAAAAAAGATGTCAAATTTCAAAACGTGAAATATGTAAATTTGTGTATATCTTAGAAAATTTTGAATAAAAAAGTCTAATTTTTTGCAGATATGCTTAAAAATATACCTACTTTAAGATGATGGTAAAAATTTTATAGGTTATAATTCAAAATTTTTTTCGAAAAATTTATAAAAATTATTTAAAAATAGAAATTTAAAAAATAAAACACAAAAAATGGGTAAATTTTATTTGGAATGAACCTAAATTTCGAAATGTGAGAGAAAAAATCAAAAAAGTTTAATAAAAAAAGAGATATAAATAAATATTTACCAAATTCAATTAACATTGATGAGCTAAAATTTTGAGAGCTAATATTTCAAAAACTACTTGTACGATTTTTATAAAACTTGGTATTCTGGCATAATTTGAGTCGTAGAATCGAAATATGTAAAAAAATTGTTATGTTATTTCAGAAAAAGTCCGATTTTGTGTCAAAATACCTATGTTAGAATAGTGCTATATATAAATCTAATATATATCCTAAGTCGCGCTTTCGAGGCATGAAGATTGCAATTTGAATTTCGTGAATCGCCCCAGTAGAACGGGAGATATAGCACTGTCCCATTTGTTTTTTTTTAGCAGTGTACATAACTATATGTACATAAGATACATATAGCTTAGATCAATACTTTCAGTACTAAACCTATGATGTTTTCTGTGTTTTTTATTATACATGATGAAATACCAAGGCGTTTAATAATCAGTAACTGTCAGATTTAGCTACCAGAAATAAATACATTTTAATTTTAAAATACATATTAATGTTCATGTGAGAAAAATATCAAAAATTACACTGCAAATGAAAGCTTACTACTTCCTGGAAAACTTTTATTGAAACATACAAAACAATGAAATACATGGTATTACACAGTTTCATTAATTACTAGAACACACCTGGCTAGAAGCTATCTACAATTTTAAAGAATTTCCATTGACTGAAAATGAAGTGAAAGAAATCACACATATTACAAAGGCAATTGGCAGCGAAAGATTTTCAGATAGGAAAGAGAAGTCAAAGAATTAATCAAGAAGTGACAAATAAGAACTGAATGATCATCAGTTGACAGTGAAGCAGCTATAAGGAAAAGGTAAAGTGCCTTTAACTTACAACTAGTTACACGAATTGTTATAAAAGACATAAGAACTGTCTTGAACTGACTCAAATACTGAAACTTGAGGACACAGGGATATTTATATAGAGAAATATTTATTTATATTTATATTCTTTATAGAGACATTGAAAAACTCTCCTTACTGTGAAACTTTTAGAGATATGTCAGTCATTGTCCCAAGGAAAAATCCCCAGCTTTTTATGAAAATAATCATATCCCATTCTTATTTTTTTAGCAGAAATAAAAATCCTTTGAATTAAAATTTGCTTCATTTTATTGCTTTTAATTACACATACTTTCTTAATTTGAATTATACCTAACACATTTTTTCTGAAGAAAGTTAACTTTTTGTAATGCAATTCTGCTGTGTGCGGATTGGATTGGATTATTTTAATTATGGCAAAGCACACGAGGACTATCTTCCTAAAGGGAGGGATGCCTTCGTGGAGGACTTTCTGAGGGAAACCGGCTCGTATGCACGCTACACATGGGGAAAACCACGAAAACGTCCACGCAGCCAGCCCATTCGCGGGATTCGAACCTCGGACCGAACTACCAGTGTTCAGCGTCTTTATTGCTCGGCCGCTGGTGGGCCCTGCTGTGTGTGAAATATATTAATAAAGAAACCACCATGTTCGGCAAGAGTCTACTGTACCCAAAATGTTTAGTAGTTAGTTTTCATTCTAAACTTTCCTTAAAAAAATCCTCTTATGACATGAGCATAATCTATGCGATTGCTAGGAAAGTACTTTAAATATTTCTAAAACGTAGCTTGCAGAGAATTTCAATATTATTTGAAATAATTTTTTGAGAATAAATTGTGGCAACTGACTCATCATTGTGTATTTTAAATAAAAATTATCAGAATTGTGGAATTTTTACATTTATGCATTTTATATTTGAGAATGAAAGCTTAAAAAATTAATATATTCATCACATTTTACATTTAGAAAGGTAAAATAGCTACCAAGTGATGCAAAAAAATGTGTGTATGGTGATGATGCACTAACGGAACATACATACTAGAAATGATTTCCAAAATTTTATTTCAGTGATTTTCAGTTCAAGATGTATTATGCTTTAGTAGATCAACTGAGACATAAATGATAAATTAAAAGCCTTACATGGAGCTCTGCCTATGTAAAATTGCTGAGAGTCCAAAATAGGAAAACTAATGAACATTTAAAAAAGATAAGCAAAATAATACATTTCCAAAAATGTTGCTACAACTCTGAATATCATAATAACAAACCTCTGCTATTAGGCGACTTGGAGGCACTGATACTCTTTTCCTTCTAAAAGCAACTACACTAGATAAGCTATTTTGCACAGGAGGTGATAATTTGCTGAGACTATTATGCTACAAAGAAATTAATTAAATATAAATTAGCTAAAATGAAAGGAAATATGAAAGAAAAAAAATTAAATGATTACTATAAAATACTCAAACATTTCTTTCCTCTCCCCCCCCTTTTTTTTTCAGAGGGAGGGGTTAAAATTAAGAATGATTTTCTTTTTTATTAAATTTTTCAAAGACAGTATTTTCAGTGCTTAAACTGTTTCATAACGTAAACAATCTTAGCAACAAAAAGACTGTATTTTAGCAAATTTCTGCAGCATTCACTTTGCATACATTATGGACAAAATGTATTAAATAACTTTCTCAGTATTAAGACAGTGCAGTGTAAAAATAATTTAATAAACACTTAAGGGCTAATGGAAACTAAAAGAAAAATGAAAAATATAAAATATCAATACAGTAGAATTCCAATAATCCATGACCACTTACTTAATCCACAATTCATGCTCATTTTTGGAATAAATACATAAAATTTCAATTTTCAGAAAAATCAGCAGGGCAAATTTAGCAGCAGTTTGGTCCAAAAAGTATATGTAATAAGTTTTTTTTAACAAAAATATATTGTAATATATTTTGTTTGAAAATGCATAAAATTTTCATCCACCAGTACTTTCATTTTATAGCAAATGTGGATCATGAATTTTTGATTTTTTTAAAAATAAATCATTCCTTTTGTATATATGTTCCATTGTCTTTTAAAATTAATTGAGTTTATGTGGTTAACATATGTAAAAATCTTACCATACCTTTCCAGATGTCGAATTCTGATATAACTCTACAGCTGGTTTGTTTACATGCTGGGCTATGAACAGGCATTGGTAGTGAACTGGGATAAATTAATAAAACCAGCACCCATAGTTTACCCAAACTATAGTTAACCCATAGTTTAACTAGCACCCTATTCTGGTGTCTTTACATTTAAAGTAAATAAATACATAAATAGTAAAATAAAATAAAGGAGGTTCAGTTCATAAAGAAATCCAAAATTTGAGAACTTTTTATAAATAATACATACATGTAATGTCAGAATCATCACACAGATTAGATTCAGGAAAAACTTTACAGAGTGAGGTTCTTGTAAACAATGTATTTATTTATTTTTCTCTTATTTAAGAATACAACAGTTACTCAAAATATAATTGTTTGGGGTTAACACATACACCACTTAATAGTTTACTTCAGTACAATACTTTTGAAGCACTCTGAAATATATAAAGCCATCACATAACAACCCACTCCTCTTTCTGTACTTTCAAGATACCTTGAAAAGCTTTGTAGTATGTTTCTTATATGGCGTAAGTGGGATACAATTGGAAAGTGTGAGAATTCATGATGACAGATATATGCCTTTTTTAGGGGGGGGGTACATTTATTACTTCAAGTAATATATTTCTTATATGTAGCAGTTAATAAATATTTTTCTGGAATACTTAATCAGAAGTTAAACTCATGTTGAAAAGCATTCAAAGGAATAACCAAGATGTAAGGAAAATATATATATATATATCTCTTTCAGAATAAAAAAGTCGCAAAAATCGAAAACGAATCAGAGATCACGTGATATTTGTGCCATTATAGGTTCGCATGCTCATGTGACCTCTGATATCATCACAAATTTAGTATCTATTGGTTCCATAAGTTATTGCATTCAATTCTTAGTCTTTTTAATTGCGTATCTTAGCTTCAACGAAAATTTTAAAACTATATTGCTCATTTTCAATTATTTAAATATCAATTTCTTTTTAATTAATTCTCATTTAATTTAGGTTTCTATTTTTGAATTAATTAGTGCATAACCACTCTTAAGAGATTCCTCACGTTTAGACTATTAGCGCTTTTGTACTAAACTATTTTCAGATTGGCAGGTTAATTTTTCTTTCTTTTTTCCAAAGGAGTGTTAGCTCAGAAGGGCTATTAATTTCGTTTTGGCATTTTGTGTCAATTCACTATAAATGGCAAATCACTTTTGAAATTCTTGCCACCAAATAGACATGTTCCCTGACCTGAACTTCTGGCAGTGGTTTGTTTGTTAATGGCATCATCCACAAATGTCTGGCAAATTTGGCGACTTGATTCTGCTGCTGACAGGCCTACTTCTAAATCATATAGCAAACAATTCCGAACGAGCGCCTTTGATGCGTCCATTTCAATCAGTCACTGTGTGAGTTATGTTTGAAGTACCGATGCAATGCACTTTTATACTCTTGGTCAATGTCCGGACTCCCATCCTAACCACTTCATCGCCAGATTTTGGAGACTATTTTTATGTTGGGGTTCACTCTTCCAATGCCATATCAGAAACGGCAAGAACTTTTTTGGTTACCTTGTAATATAAATTATTTGGCATCTAAATTGAACAGTAAAAATCACACTAATATTTTCATTATTAAATATATAGAAAAACTGTTAATGTTACGATTGCTGTATAAATGTCTGGTTGCAAATAAATGGTATTAATGTAGAAGAATTTGGTTTTATTTATTTTTTTCATTAATCACTAAGTTAACATTGTATATTAGCCAATCACAGCCACATTAAATATTTCATTCAAAAAAAAAAAAAAAAACTGGCATATAGATGTATAAAAGCTTGCTATCTTGGGTCTATATGTTGACCTTCATCAACATAAGCAGACTGTGACATAGTGAACAACTGACCAGCATTTGGAAAACAAAATGTTTATTTTTAAAAAGCTATACATCTCCAATAAAGGTTTCATTAACTTCATCATTATTAATACAACATTATTAAAAGCCAATACACCACACTTCTAATTCAGCATGTTTCTTTAGCAGATTCCAATCGAATGGAATAATTATCATCTAAAGCAGTGGGGGTGCGGGAATGTATTTTTGGGGGTGCGGGAGAAGCCCCTACCTAACTATAAAAATTATTAAATATCATTTATTAAATTTCTTATAATAAAATATTTGAAATCTGCAAATAGTGTTCCCAATATTGAAGCTCATAAAAAATTGGTAGCCCCTAGCTCACTTATCGGCAAAAAGACACAGAAAACAGTCGGTGCGATGGTATACTACGCGAAAAGGCATGAAACGCTAAACAAACGTGCGCCTAGGTGACAAAAAAGTAGAGAAACAAGCGTGACCTTCGAGACTCAATAGCCACGACCCTAAACAGTTATTAATTACCTTTGTTTATTATTGCCTAAAAGTTTTAGATTCGAAAGCACATAAAAAATCCAACAGATTCCATTATCGAATGATATTATACGATCGCGAATACAAGATCTCAGTGAAGATATTTTAATGCAAGTAATTGAAGACATAAAAATCAGTTCACTAAAATAAGCATGCAACTGGATGAGTCAACTGATGTTGATAATTGTAGCCAACTTTTGGTATTTGTCAGGTATGTGAAGGAAAAAAGAGGTGATAGAAGAAGAATTTCTATTTTGTGAGCCACTGGAGGTGAATACGAGAGGAATTGATGTTTTCAATCGCATCAAAGATTTTTTTACTAAATATCAATTACCAATGAATGTGATTGGCTCAATATGCACTGATGGAGCCCCAGCAATGTTAGGCGAAAATTCAGGATTTTTTTTCACACATGAAAGAGAATTACCGGAAGTTATAATAACGCATTGCATGTTGCATCGTCATGCACTTGCGTCGAAAGCATTGCCAGAAAGTTTAAAACAACATCTAACTACAGCAGTAAATGTAGTAAAATACATCCGAGGGCGAGCGCTTAATCATCGCATTTTTCGTGCATTTTGCGAAGAAATCGGTGCTGATCATACCGTGCTCCTATATCACACCGAAATACGATGGTTATCTAAGGGTCGCATGCTTAACAGAGTTTTTGAATTGCGTGAGGAAATTATTCAATTACTGACTAGTCAAAACTGTTATTTAGTAAAAGATTTTGAGAGTAATGATGCAATGCTGAGGCTGGCCTACTTAGCAGACATATTTAGCCATTTAAATGAATTGAATCTATCAATGCAAGGATTTGGTATAAATATAATAATATCTAGTGAAAAAAATTATCTTCATTTATCGCAAAATTAGAAATTTGGATACGTTGAGTAGAAAAGGGGAATTTTGCAAACTTCCCCTTGCTTGATTCTGTTATTGCGAAAAATGAAAAGAATACAATTATACCCGACATTGTAATACATTTGAGACGATTGAGCGAATCATTCAATGGATATTTTTTCTACCGGAAATATTACCAAAACTCAAGAGATGGATACTGGATCCATTTCTATTTGACTTAAATTTGATGGATGATAGTGATCTGAAAAAAGATCAACTTATTGAAATGCGAGCAAGTGGACATGTTCAAATGGAATTCGAACAATTAGAATTGCAACAATTCTGGTGTTCACAGTTACAACGTTATCCAGAGTTGGCGAACGGAGCACTGCAGTTACTCTTACCCTTTGCTACCACCTACTTGTGCGAAATGGGATTTTCATCGCTTTTGCATATAAAAAACTAAAGCGAGAAATCGCTTAAATGCAAGTGATGACTTACGCGTATGTCTTTCAAAAAAAGAACCTCGCTTCGCCAGTATAATAATGAACAAACAACAACAGACTAGTCATTAATAAAAATAATATTGTTTTGTATTTATATAAAATGTACAATGTTTTTCAATAAACAATAAGTTTCGCAAAAAATGTATTTTTCTAGACTAAAAAAATTAAAACCATTTTTCAATGGGGTGCGGGAGATATATTTCAGATTCAATGGGGGGACTAGTAGAAAGTTAAGAAACTGCTAAAGACCAAACAAAAGAAAAACTCTGTCCCACAGTTGGCATCATGAGAAGCTCAAATATTATTTCAATAAAAAAACTCATAATAAATCAATAATGCTTTAAAGAAATAATTTTTAATACAACAGAATAAATCAGAAATAATAATTGTTTATAAATTAAATAAATATTATAATAAACTACCTCTCTAGAATGAATACGAGTTGCCAGTTTTCTACTATGTGTGGCAGGAATTGTATTAAGGTTATCAGACTGTAGAGCTAGATAGGATGATTTGTCAGAATCACTTGCCTAAAATGAAATAAACATTACAAATTTAGAGATGTTAATCCTCATCCAAATAATACAGAAGGAGAAGATGCTTGGCAAACTCATCATAAGTTTTTTGAAGAGAAACAAAAGTACGATTGTAACTTAGATGAACATTTTAACTTGTTATAATGAACTAAATCTCATTCACTCACACACACTTTTTTTTAAACAAGATTAGCAGTTTCATATACAATTTTACACAGAAACAAATACTTTATCTTCATACCAAGGACATAGCCTCTGATTTGGCTTGACACGGTTTCGACTTGAATATGAGGTTTCTGATTGCATAGCAACCAACTGACCAACCAAATGCAAATTCCGCCCCACCCCAAAAAAAAAAAAAAAAACCATATGGGATACTTGGGAACAAGCAAAATCATATCAGTATGCGAAACTTGTCTCTCCTATACTGATAATATAAAATAGTTAACTAGTGAATCTACATAATGAGCACAGATTTTATTTATAGTATAAGTGAATTTAAAAGCTAAAGAAACAAAGCAAAAGAGCTGAAAAAGAATAAAAAATTCACTCATGACATAAGAATAAACTATTTTATCATTTTGAAAAAATAATGTTACCTGAGTCTCTCTGTATTAAAGTGGGTTCAAATGGTATAACTGTAGTGGCCTAGTTATTGCATGAAAAATAATTATTTTTTATTTCATATATTTGTTATGTGTTTAATTATTTTATAAAATTAACTTTAATATATTTTGTTAATATTCATATTTATATTTCTTTTATGCTGAATGGCAACAAGTACTTCATATTTATATTTAAATTTCTTTATGCTGAATGGCAACTAGTTCTGATTCATGATTGCTTGTTTTTGGTTTCAAAACGTTGCTGTTCTAGTAGCCTCACATTTCAACAGCTGGAAAATAAAAAGCAATAAACTTACCTATTTATTTATAATTCATGCTGTTCCTAATCACAATTTAGTTTTGAACATTAGTAGCCAAGGCCACATATCTACAAGTTCAAGAGAAGAAGGAAGTAGATCTGATAATTCAAGTATGAAACACAGGGAGTAATTTGTTATTAGTGTTAGAAAAAAAGAAAGGATTCTATGAAAAAAGCCATTTCTACATTTCTATCAGCATAATGAATACCTTCAGTGGGTTTAGCAGCAAATTCAGATGTCAGGAAATCAGTGGAAGCAAGTTATCTGGAATATTTGAAATTATTTGAATTTAAACACTGTTCAGTCCAATACTCCTTTGAAGGCCTCAGGCAGAATTCTTTAAAATGTGCCTTTTTAACATTTTTATCAGCAAGAGAATAAGTGAATCTTTTCCTGCTTTGTTTTTCGTAATTTGGTCTCCTTGCAACATATATAAAATTTTTGTATTTATCATTTAGTCAATATTCCATCTACTTGCCTTAAACTTTATACATAGAAAGATCAGATTCATGAAATATAACAATCCCACTTATTTTCTATGGCATCAAATGGTCTGATCTGTAATCCCCTTTTATTTATAAATTCCATCTAATACTAAAATTATTTGTGATCTGCTTTAGTTATTTAAAAAAAACTTTTGCTTCTTGACCAAAATACAAAACTAAGTTTTTCCACTTTGAAACGTGACATATTTTAGTTAGTTATTATTTATGTCTAACACAAGCATTATAACAACTAGCCAACAGAAACTCCAAGAAAGTTCATAACTTAATTATACTGTGTTAAGTTAGCATAAATTTTTATGTTTCAAATATTTAAATTTGTTTTTATAATGAATTTTGCATTAAATTATACTTAAACTGACATAAGAATATTTATAATTAATAAAAACAGCAATTTTGTAAGTGTAAAGAGTCACAACACGAAAATTTTAAAGTGTCCATACTTTGTCCAATGTCCTATAATGCAAATACCTAATTCAATATTATACATCAATTAGAAGGAGAGAAAACTTTATCAAGTTAGTTGCACACTGAATTCAGAATGGAATAGTCTAATATTTAATTGCTTTACCCACTCAAACAGAAGGGTCTAAGAAACATCATACATTAGGTCAAGAATTTCTGTTCACTATAGATTAGCTTATTTAATCAAGCATTCAAGAGTGATCTGCCTTAAGAATATACTTTCATGGAAGACTTTTAGAAGGAAATGGTGTTATACATGAAACAGGGTTTGTACATATTTCTGCAAATGGAAATTAAGGACCTACAAGCAAATGGGAACTGAATAAATTCAATTGAAAATATTATCTATGCCTGAACTTCATTTTTGTACAACAGTCCTAAAAATAAAATGGATCCGTAAGTAGAATACATTATTATTAAACATTACTTAACCCTCTGAGTAGCTCGGGTTTTTGGATCTGTCATAGAGATATTCAAAGAGTCTTTATTAGCTAAATCTGTCTATTTACTTACTTTAGCCTCCATTTTCATAAACTTATGTTTATTAAGATGACATTTATATTATTAAGGAAAGTAAGAAAGCAAAATATCATAAATTATAAGCTAATATATACCACGTGACAAAAAATATCATGACCCGATACTGGCCATAGCGCTCAGAGGATTAATTAACATAATTGTTTATAAGTTTGAGAATAAAATTAATTTTATGAAATTTATCAAGTGGCATTAAATATTTTACACTTATAATAGCTGGACATATTTAAAAGAAGACACATGACATTTTATTTACATTTTACATACAGTTAGTTTTTTTTTTTTTTTTTTATCTCATTTAGTCACATACATAGAGGCACGGTTGGCAAGTTTTGAAAGTTAGCTGGACTCTGTCTAACGCAGTTAGTGCTGTAGCTTTGTGTTGAATTTCAGGGGTTGTAACCTAGTTACTATATTTTAGGATACCAATAAGCCACTAAAGCACCAGAGGTGATAAGTTGTTTTGTATTATTTTCAGTCTCAATAGATGTGGAGAATAAGTTTTTACATCAATTTTTCCATTTTTGTGTTTTATCTTGTGACCATGGTAAGGATTAATGAAAGGCAATAACTCACTTTAATATGCAGATAAAAATTTTAAAGGTAAGCAGTTAGTTATAAATAATTAAATTAGGTAGTTAGATAACCTTAGTCAATATGGATTTACGTGGCCACAATTAAATTTTATTTATTTTTTAACATTATTTTTTAATAATATTTGTTAAAAAAGCCCTATTAAAATCACAACCTAATAAAATTTCACAGTTTAAAAATACATGTAATTTATGACATTGATTCTTAGACGATATTAAGATAATTACACATTAAAAGCTACAAAACATTTATGTTTTGTGGTAACAACACTCAACAAAATATTTGTTTGAAACTTCCCAGAAATTTTGGCTAATTTATATGAAATTCCTTCTCTTTAAGCATCTTTTCTAACAATTAGAAATTTATCTCAATATACAGACCTATGTTCTCATTAGTTTCTGCATACTTTAGCTCCTAATTTGTCAACCTCTCCACAATGTACCTTTGAGGATTTACTTGATAGTTAAATAGTCCGAAATCTCCCGACAGACATGAAGCAAATTAACACCATGTCTGAAAATAACTACAAAGTGAGAAAAAGGTTTAAATAAGCCTCTTATTTAAAAAGAACTTAGAACATAAAGGCATGTTCTTATGCTAACAAAATCAGTTACAGCTCATGATGTAATTACGCAAGTAATAATGTTTGTAGTTAAACATGTTCAAACCAAAAATGTGGACTAGTGATCAAAGATTATACAATTTTAATTTAAGATGGCTCAGTAACTCTATCATCATAACAAATTCAAATGTTGGCAGCAATGATGCAAAGGCGAATAATTATAAATTATCAGACCAGGCAGGAACTAATGCAGAAAGCAAATGGAGGTCAGAAACACACTCTCTGTCTTAGACTCCAAAAAACCTCAATTTAAAACTGTCTAAGTGATTTGCATTCTGGTGAGGAAATAGAAATAAAATATTATAGTAAAGGCTGAAATCATAAACAACTGGGTAACTTACATAATAGTAAGTGTACATATCTTTAAATAATAAATTTTTTCTCTTTATGTATTCAGTTTCTTTCTTCAACACATTTCCTCTTCATTTTAGAATTTTCGTATTTAATTAAAGATTTTTCTATTATTCCAAAAAAACTAAATACATTTAGAATGTATAGAAAAAGCAGCTACTTCAATTTCATTAGTAATATGAATATTCAGAAGAAATATGAAATATATATGGTAAGGGCCAGTTACAGAGCTGGTGTGGCAGAATTTTTAGAATTTAGTGACACACTGAGCAACAAAATCTAGAAATGGCAAAACGTTTAGAATTTAGAGAAGATTCTAGTATCAGAAGTCAAACATTAAAATATTATGTTTTCATTGTTTTTCCAGACATTCTATAATTAGTAAGAAATTCATCGCAAACTTTCTTAAAATACATTTATTACATGTTAATATGATGGAGATATTTTTCATTTTGTCACATTTTTCTGGAATCTTCTAGAATCATGAGTCTATAAATGTTGCCTTCAAATCTTTCTAAACTTTCCAAGCTGCAATGTCTAAAATCCTACAGAAAAATTACCCCTAACAATTCTGTTACAGCAAAAAGGCCAAAATATTTTCGGAAAAAAAAAAAAAAAAAAAAAAAAAAAAAAAAAAAAAAAAAAAAAAAAAAAAAAAAAAAAAAAAAAAATCAGAGCGGGAAAAAGTGTAAAATTTTATAGAGAAAACTGATGCATATTCTGAGACAATTATATGGGAAATTTTCTTACCATGAAAAAATTAGAAAGGAGACTTTTTAATTAATTACATAGCTATTTTGCTTTTGCTAAGAACTGCTTCGTAAATTGTGACCATTATGCCTTGTTTATTCCGATTGAAAGTACTGTATAATAAGCGGCCAAAATGGAACATTATAATATGACAGTAAGAAATAAAAAATGTTTTAATGTTTCTTTTTATTCCTATTTAATGTTATTTATAACTTCAATATATTACCATTATTTTAATGAAATTTAT